TTCAGTTATAAGTAGTGATGCAGGACCACCTTACAGCTACCGTTAAAACTATGAAGTCTGAGTTTTAATTTAGTAGTCATAAAACAGTTTTATAGACGACTTGACGGCCTGATTGTATGACAAGCACACAAAACCGTAATACAACCACAGGCTGGAAGGGATGCTATGATAAACAATGATAAAATAAGAATAAATCTTCCAAGCATTTAGATTGTTACTTGGGCGTACTCAACAGGTGACAAAGGTGACATTTTCCACCAAATAATTCCTGATGGGCGGAAACATTGCTTGGATTTTAATAAAAATAAAGATTATTTTACAACGTCGAGATCGAAAATAAATGTAAGGAACCATGACACATTTTTGGAGAATCGTTTGATCGATAGTGTCGATAACATAAGAATGTTAAAATGTTATATTCGAACTGTCATTTATAGTACGTTCAGACTACAGAATTATAACATGGTTATTGATGGCGGATTCTGTGTTGCATTTATTTGACAATCGATATAACAAATAATTGCAACATCAATATTGCACTATAAACTCTGGTCTCTCTTCAATTGTCGAATATTGCGCTATAACATGTTATAACTCTGTAGTTTGAACAAAGCATTAAACTGTATTAGATTTCACAAATTTTCACTTGAAATTGACACTTCGAAAATAAATAAGAATGTTCGAAAATCCGTCGGCGCTTGTCATAACTCGCTGTTTGCATTCGCAATAAGCAAGTTGCACAAATTCGTAGGTGTTAAGCGCCCATTACACATGTCAATATATTGACAATAAATTGACATACTGACAATATTATTGAAAAGGTGATATTGATGATGATGATTGATGACAAGTATTGACGAAAAGCTGATTTTCATTTCACTTTGTCAATACTCAGAATATATTGACAAAAAAACAGTCATTTCTATCAATATCATCAATTTACGAATATTGACAACATCAATGGCAATACGTTTGAAGCCTTTTAACCTCAATGTATTAAAGTCAATATTACTTGTCTCAATTTCCCCACACAAGAAACGTGGATCAGTGGGTCAAAAGAGAAACGTCGTTGCTGAACCTATAGAAAATACTAACTACACACTGAATTCGGATAACCTAAGTCGGTAAAATTTTACCCGTTTTTTGAACTAAATTTCAAATTACCATTACTCGTAAGAAATCAATAAAATCGACACATTATCATTGAATGATTTTAAATAGGTCCATACAATTTCGCAATAAATTTCAAAATTGTTGGATTGGTTGGCACTAGAAATACTCAGAGGGAGAGATGGGCGGAGAGAATGTTTTGAGCCAAATGAACTGTCAAAATCTGAGCCAATCGAACATTCCCATTAGAATTTTTCCGAGGATTTCTTATTCTTTCTAGTATTGCAAACGAACAGAAATTCAATCCCCTTTATGTTTTGTGTGCTTCTCAAATTTAACTAGTTTTTGGAACCAAAAACAATATTCTAACTCTATTGATTAATTGATCTTCGTTGGTTAATGAATGGCACCAAGAAATGTGCGAAATATTGCGATGCAATCAATTATTATTTTGCACGTAACTCGAATCAAAAATAAAACTCATTTGAAATGCTAGCTTCTAGCAAGGGTTGCAAAATAATTTAGGAACAAATCTCTGCTTCCGAATTGAATTTTGTTTTCTCCGCCTATCTCACCCTCTGAGTATTTCTAGTTGGTACCTGAGTACTACGAACTAACTCAAAATGCTTGTCATCTGGGAGCCGAGTCAAACTGTCAAACGGGAACCAAACATTAAAAAGAGCTCATAAATCATGTGGGTAGTTACTGCTTGAACCACAAGTAAAGGTATTGCCACCTACTGAAATCAAATTAAGAATTATAATTATGAAACTGTCGAAACATCGACCTTAGTAGGCGGATAATGTAAATCATCTAACGTGATGCTCGAATAAGTTTTTTTTTTATTTTATATTAATAATAATGCCAAAACTGGGTTACGAATTGCTGAAATAAGAATTTAATCAAACTTTATAAGAGTCATGTGAGCTTTGTGGGCAGGTGCACTCCCAACACCATGTATTCGTTATTTGTGGAGCAGAGAAGGAGGAGCCAAGAATTCATTTGACAGCATGTATATACGATTTCGTGAGCTGTTTCGGCAAAACAATTTGAATCTTCGAAAGATTTTCATAATTTTTTTTTTGCTCGCTTGAAAAATTAAACCGACAGAGTTCGCAATACACAGGTTGGCTATCCTTTCATTCTACTGAAAGTGCCAATAAGAAACTGTCAATATTTGTCGATTTCTCGACGGTTCTGTCAACGCCAACATCAAATGTTGTAACTTTTTGACAGGACACAGAAAATACACAGGACAACATGATAACAAATTAATGGAATTGAATCAAATCGATTGTCGACTGCGCGGAATTACCACTCGTGTTCAATAAACCACGTTCATGGTATGGAGTTTCCCATACATAAACTATTATGCTGGTGTTTTGGTGAACATTCCTAAAGGAAAAACTTGCATATATTATTTAATTTGCGTTACGTGTAGGCATGTGAAACGCAGACAGTATTTGTTTTATTTTAAAGTGATTATGCTTGTGATTTTGTAGCAAATGAACATCCATATAGACAAAGCCTGGGTAGTGATTGGTGACTGTAAAAGGATACTTTTTTTATTTAGTTTGATATCCATTTTATATCACATACGAAGATTTGAACAAAATGGCAACACTGCATGCGTGAAGGTACATTGTGAGTCAGTCGGTCTAAATGACGTACGTTCTCCCTCCTCTTGGGTAGGAGAAGAATATTGAGAAAGTGGAATGAAAATCAGTTTTCAACAATACTCGTGATAAAACCATCGTCATCAATATTACCTTTTCAATAATATTGTCAGTATGTCAATTTATTGTCAATATATTGACCTGTGTAACCAACACTTAAGTGAATTGTCATTAATGTTGTCAATATTTATAGATTGATTATATTGTAAGGAAAATTGACAATACGATGTTTGTCAATATATTGACATATGTAATGGGCGCTTTACAAGTCCTAGACCATTGTGTTGAGAGTATTGACGCTTCAGTCAATTACCATATTGACCGAGTCTTGGTATTGGATACGTTCGGTAAACCAAGGTGGGTATATAAATGGTGATACAGCTTTGTCACTATATAGGCGAGGAGGTCGCGGGGGGAAAAAGTGCGGTTTTAGAGCAAATTGTAAACAAACTCGGTCGGTGCCCCATACAAAAATCCAACATGGCTGAATCATGAATTTGACACATTAGAACACCTATATGTAGTCACCTTGCGGTAAACGTTGCTGGCAGATTTATAATAACAATGAAGATTGAAGTAGGGTAGAGCACTACTTCGGCCTAATCGCCCATTTTGGGCCTATCGAGCTGAAAACTTCAAATAAGTCCATGATTTCAGAGTTCCTTTGCTTTTCCAGGAAACTACTTGAATAAGTGGAAAATCGACGAAAACTTTACTCTTTCTAGGAGTATACTAATAGACTGAGTGAAATAACCCTCGATTTTTCTTATATTTAAGAAGTTTTTCCTGGAAAATCTAGGAAACTTTAACTCACTCACTGAGTATCCCCACTTTTTGCACTTTTGAGTCGAACTCAACTCAGTTACTGAATTGGTCTCATTGGCCGTGAGCCAATCGAATTTACACTGTTTGACTGGAAAATTGATGTGCGTTGATATGGCTTTTCAGTCCCTACAAAAACAAATAATTTTCCTTATTGCCATTCTTTGCAATTTAAGAGTTGTAAATAGTCTCAAACATTTGAAACAATAGTTACAGTTAAGCCGTCTAGTGTAGTTCTGTAGCACTTGTAACTGCCATGAGTTCAGAGTTTATGTTTTTTATTAAAGTTCATAAATTTAGTATCCACCAACAGGGTTGCTTCCACTCACTTGCTATAAAAAAATATTTTTCCGAATTATGCAATCATTAGATGATATAATGATATGTTGTACTTTTAAGTAACAAGAAGTGGGTGTAAAGTATATGTTTGACTCATAAAACCTGTAAATTTTGCTTTCAGAGCGTCACAATCAGCGATCTTAAGATTCGTGAGCGTTCACTCATAGTGAGCGCTCACGAATCGTAAAATCGTTGATTGTGACCCTCTGAAAGCAATACTGACAGATTTTATGTGTCAAACACATACTTCACGACCTCTTCTTGTAACTTACAAGTACTAATTATCATTATACCATCTCATGATTTCATTATTCCGAAAAATATTTTTTTATAACAAGTGAGTGGAAGTAACCCTGTCCACCAATCAAATAACTTGTACGAGGTTGTTCTCGACATCCCCAAAATTATGGAGTGGTTCAGAATAGTAAATTTTTGTTTTTTTCAGTTCAGCAACAACAAGTTTTTATGAACCAGAATTTGTTCAAGTTCGGAATTTATTAATGGTTGGTTCTGTGTTCGAGATATCTAAAAACTTTCAAGTATTTTTTGTAACGTCACAAAACGTTTTCTTGTACTTTCCCATTTGCGGCATCCGGGCCGGCTTTTCTGTCAGCATCCTTGCGTAGGACCACCCCGTCGCATTTGTTTTTGTAATGTAAGTATCACTACCACTGCTACACCTACCAGCTGCCAAAGCTTATTTTGAATGGGATCCATCATAAAAAAAACACACAATCAGTGCACTTCTACCTACCACAAGCCCAGCGTTACAATTGAAAACAGTCGGGCGCAGTGCTCCGCGAGTTTCGTTTGACATTTCGTCTGGAAAAGCTCGTTCTCTCGCTTGATTACCAGCACTGGCTATTGTTCGTTACACTATTAGTGGGAGTTGGGTGGCGCTTGCGTTCTTCGTCTTTATCGATTGTCGTCATACTTGGTGGCTAATGAGAGCGAGAGAGAGAGAGAAAGAGAGTGAGCAAAAGCTTTCCGGAGGAGGCAAAAGCATCTGGAATATGATGAAAAGGAGGCATCTTCACTCTGTACCGAGCGGTATCAATGACCAGTTTGCTGTACTGTCGGTCGGGAGTAATATTCTATTCCTTACTCGGTTGATGTGAAAGTGAAGAAAACTCAGCTTTTCAGATTGAACGGAACGCGTTTTGAGCGAATTTCCAAGTGAAAAAATTCGTTTAGTTCTGTGGGGCATTGTGATACGCAAAACGTGTGGAATTTGTGGTGGGGAAAATAGTTGATCCAATAACAAACGAGGAAAAGTCCCTGGAGGGTACTGTGAGTAGAATAGTTAATTACGACTACAGGAAAAAGTTATTGATTTGCTGAATCAGTGTGGAAAATAGTGCAAGCTCCATCGAACGAAGTCAAGCAAAGTGCCGTGATAATCCTCTTGCCAGCTGGAATTACCATTGAGTGATCAACAAGAAGGAAATAATCCCATTCGATTGAGTGCTTTTTCTCGAGGAAATCAGCAAGATGGGCGACCACGGCCCGGATATGAACACACTGGAAACTGGTAAAATAAGGCATATTTAAGCTGATTGGCGATGCTATTGATCATTCTTTGTGTACATTAAGGCGCCGTAAAAATGTTATCTGAAATTGACATCTGGCGGCGATAGGAGCGCTAACAATCTAGGTAGGATTGACCGCGGGTCATGTCGTCTAGGGAGAAAAAAACAGCATCGCCACGGGGTTCCCGTCAATCATTCAATCATTTCAGCTCTCGTTGAAAGAGTGGTTACATAAAATATGTACGGGTCGATGCTGGCGGTACCTACATTGAATGTTTCGACCACCCACCGTTCGTTGGTAGGCAGGATGGTTGGTTACCACCCACCCTGCAGGCGATTATTCCTGCACTCTTCTCGTAGTGTTGGAACACACTCTCCCTTTCTCTCTCTCTATCTGTCTCCTGTTCGCTCTTACTTCAGATAACAGGCAGTGTTTGTATTTTCTCGAAAAGAAAAGTCTGCTGCTAAGCTTCTGACCAAAGCATCGTGAACGTGCCATCTCCGCTCATTGACAGCTCCCGGAAAAGGACGGATTTGGTTGCTGATTTCAACGGAAGTAGGTACCTGTTAAGCTGGTTTGATTCATAGGCTTTGAATTGCATTTGACGATGTAATTATGTCGATTTGTTTGCGTTTTGGTTGGTGATTTCGAACTAATGTTTCCTAAAAGATGCCCATTGTTGCTAATGCTAATGAGATGTTTTGCGTAGGTGGTTTGTTTTTTCGTTTCAATGGCGTACAGTCAGACATTCTTGGAATATAAACGATAAGTCTAGTTTTTGGATAATTATAGATGCTCCATAGTTAAGCCATTGGGACCTCCCTTAGCTCAGTTGGTAAAGGCGCAGCCACAAAGCAAGGAGGTGGCTGGGTTCGATTCCTGGTCCGGTATAGAAATTTTTTCGGGTTGTACTTGCCACACAATTATACTAATGCAAAAATGGTACACACATCGAAAGTTGTCAATTAATAACTATAGAAGTGCATCTAGAACACTACAGGGTGATTCGGAATAACTGTCACTTTAAAAAAAATTTATAACGATTGAACACTTGCATGAATTTTTGATATCAGTATATTCCACCTTAACATTACCAGCCACATTTGTCACTTTACGTTAAAACTACCAGCCACATTTGTCACGAAAAATAACCACAGCGGGCACGCACGCTTTAGCTCCAGCACTTTTTTAGTCCTGGTGATGCGTCTAAGCTCTGATATTGAACGGATTTTCCAAGCATGGTTTCTTAATGTCTGTATAATGATGCGAACAATAAATGTTCCATTCTTTCGAAGAGATTTCAGTTTTAAAAAGACAACACACGATTTTATACAGATTTCATCGAATTATGTTGAGTAAACTGCTATACAACCAAAACCAGTTTTACAAAGGTTATATAAACAGTTATAGAACATGTGTTTTGCTTGGGTAATGACATGCTCCATTTTCACGAAATCGCAAACGAATGAAATTTCAAAACCTACTACATACTGTATCAATACAAACCGATATTTGTAAACACTTTAAAACAAAAAATACTTGAACATGTACCCATTTTATCCATTGAGAATTGCATATTTGTGAATTCGGTGACAGTTATTCTGAATCACCCTGTAAGTTGAGAGCACGCAATAAGCTAATATGCGGTAAGCATTAAGCTTGAAATGCGAAAAAGAAAAAAGATAATTTAGTCATAACACTCAAGAATAGCAACATTTATGAGACCTTAAAAGTGTACTAGTTTGATATAAAAATTACACTTTCTGTGCAAACACCATATTTGAGGCGTTTCCTAATGATGTCCCGACCAGAAGTAAATAACAAACTTATTGTATCTTGTGTTAATATGTACCTCAGATTTTTTTTTAACAACGGTTTTTTACATTTAGATCCCGGATGGAGTTAAAATAACTGAATTTCGAGCAAAAATTCCTCTGCCTTGTATCCAAATAATAACAGCTATTGTTAGGGAAATATCATATTTCTCACATAGTTTGTTACAAAAATACTCATTAGTTGTGTATCTGAGTGAATTCAGATCCTTTTCTGCATTTTTGAAATCATTCTCTGGTTGCTGTTTTGAGAAAGACCGTTGGATTTGATTGTGCACACGGGTATTTTTCCATGATTCAAGTTCTGATCCTATATAATTTCTGAATGAAACCAAAAAAAAATTTTGCTTGAAGAGAAGATACATTTAAATCATATAAAATCAAAATCGAAAGTACACCTAATCAGGGGATCCATTAGCTATGTCAAGTGAAATTGTGGGAAAATAAACCCCCACTTCTCTCTTTGTCACGGCCTTCTTGTAATAGGTACAGAGCCTGCCATACAATTATTTTTTCCATATTTAAACAGACTTTCTTAAAATTTTGTTATTAAATTAATTTTTTAGAAAATGTGTAATAATGTTGTTTCAATTGTGTCGATGATTTTTTGACGTAGGACTACGTCTTTAATTTCTATACTGGGGGTGTCACATTAAAAATATTAAAATTAAATTCAGACATGTAACGAAAAATCCCAAACACGGACGAAACGATAAAGCGCAAATCGAACAATCGACACATTGTGCATGCTTACATGAGCGAGCTCAATGCTCGGTTGATCGCTCATCATTTCACCAATGAAAGGAAGGGAGGAGAAAAGCAGCGATAATAAAAACGCTTGCCAAATCGTTTTATTCGTCATTTGCTTTCGAGCAGCGGACGGATAAGCATCGGACACGACTTATGAGTAGAACAGCACGCACCAATACGGAGACGGCCGACGACGAAAGCACCCACATCGACCAGAGGAAAGGCTTCCCGCAATAGGCAGCATGACTAGGCCGCCTTCATCCGGTCGGCATAGACTTGAACTGGCGTGGCCACCATTTGAAAAAAAAACCGGCCCTTTTCAGGGCCACCAATTCAAAAACGGAAAGAGTTAAGAACTAAACGATCAACATATTTGTTCCGTCCACTAGCGGTCCTACGTCAAGCTTCCGTTCGTGTCCCTAGGCACAGACCCTTCTCCTTTTTTTAAAACCGGTATCCACACAAGATTTGGTATTGATAACAAAAGTTGTCTATTTTTGATCGTATTTTGATTTTGATGAAATAAATTTGAAATTTTTTCTACGCTATTGAGCATGGGAATTAATATTTGCAGTAGTAGATTTCAAAAATATTAATGGAAATCAAACGAAAATTATTGAGTGTTTCTAGTTGAGATGGTGACAAATATGGTGACTTCTCGGTACTTTAAATGATTGAAACAGAATAAATAATAAGCCCTTTCTTCTTCGCATTTCAAGCGTATTGCTTATCGCATATTAGCTTACCTATTGCGTGCTCTCAGCTTAGTGTTCTAGATGCACAGTTATAAATCGATGCCTGACCACATTTTTGAATTAGTATAATTGAGTGGCAAGTACAATCCAACTCTTATGCCCGAGAAATTTTCCAACCCGAAAAACTCCTAGACCGGATTGGGATTAGAGCCATGCCACCTCCAGCATGGTCTTACTTTGTAGCTGCGCCTTTACCGACTGAGTTAAGGAAGGCCCATACCTGTGCAGGCAATCTTATTCTTGGATTTTCAAACATTTTTATTTAGAAGATTCTGCTAAGAACAAGATTGAAAGTTATGCAACAATAAGTTTGGTAAGGTTAGGTTATCTTCGTTAAGGAGATTTTCAGTCAGACGCTGGTTCATCTCCGAAATAGCTAAAAGATAAGAACGTATGCCACGGATACGTATGCGGCCACAAGTGTATGACAAACTATGATCATGAGGAGTGTACCCCATTAGGCATAAATACGTTAGGCATACGGACGTTAGGCATAATGGACGTTAGGTATAAAGTCATTAGGCATAATGGACGTTAGGCATAATATACGTTAGGCATAATGGACGTTAGGCATAAAATACCTTGCTGCTGTGCAACTCTATAAACCTGCTTAACATGTAAACCTGTAAACAATGCTTAAATTAGGCTTTGCGTTGAATAAAAAATGATACAAGTTAAACAAACATAGTTTATTTAATAAGCACAGTTTGGAATCCATTATTTATCATATCATAAGTGACGTATCTACATATTTACTTAGATCCATGATTAGTAGCGATAGTGGTTAAGTAATCTTACAATGAAAACTCAGCTTAGTTTTGAACTATATCTTGAAATCAATCGCATCTAGAAATAAAAAAAATCACACATTTGTTGTAATATATTCTTACACACATATTGCAAAAGTCAAAGAAGAAAAGGTTTTCCTCAAAGAACAGCTCATGAAATAAAGAATGGTGAATTCTGTGATTTTTCATTCAATAACAAAAAAAAAACAGCCAAGGTTGAATAAAATATGATGCCAAAGAACAGCTCATGAAATCAAGAATGGTTAATTCTGTGGTTTTTCATTCAATAACAAAAAACATACCTGCTGCTTCCAGGATTTCCTGCCATACTTTTCGATACAACGATTCTGATTTTGTTGTCATCAGAATGAAAACTAGCGGAACCGTCTGCTGATGTGAGGGAGCGATACTTCCATGAACAGTGACGAGTTGTCGAAACAAACAAGGAACTGTGGCAAACGTACCATCTGTAACCCAATACTTTGCCTGTCCAAGACGTCGTTCATGAGTTCCAAAAATTAAGGCTCTTTCATTATTGTCACCGAAGTCAACAATCAATAGACGGTCTCCATTATCATCCTTCTGGAATTCATTCGGTAGATTATGCCTAACGTCCATTATGCCTAACGTCCTTTATGCCCAACGTCCATTATGCCTATCGTACATTATGCCTAACGTCCGTATGCCTAAAGTACGTATGCCTAACGTCCGTATGCCTAACGACCGTATGCCTAACGTCGTGCACCCGATCATGAGCATTATTTGTATAATAAACTATGAGCACATCCCAAAACTATACAAGTGTGACCATGGATATGCTCATTTATTATTATACAAATAATGCTCATAGCATATTATACAAGTGTATCTGCGGCA